AATGAAAATGTGACAGTGGCTGTGCAAAGTGTCTCACTATGTTAGTGGGAATTAGGCTTCTATTTCTCTTTTTCATCATGAGTTTTCTTGCTCCACTTTAGCTTCAAAGGAGCACCTTTGGGAGGGTGGAGGGGCCAGGGCGAAGGAAGTAGATCCCGGAGGACAAAGTCAGCAACAGGCAATTTGCAGACTAGATTGCTAATGGTAATTTCTCATCAGACACAATCAGCACAGATCTGGAGTGAGTGACTGACTATAGGTAAGACTGACCTAACATTTTTTTTTTTTTTTTTAAGATTTTATTTATTTATTTGACAGAGGGAGACACAGCGAGAGAGGGAACACAAGCAGGGGGAGTGGGAGAAGGAGAACCAGGCTTCTCACTGAGCAGGGAGCCCAATGCAAGGTTTGATCCTGGTACCCCAGGATCATGACCTGAGGCAGATGCCTAACGGCTGAGCCACCCAGGCACCCCTGACTTAATATTTTCAAGAGGAATTTTGGGACCTTGAGAAGTTGCCCATACTTCTGTGTATTTAAATAAATTGTGAACAACCAGTCTCTATAGATCTAGAAAATCGTTCAGTAACTAATTCCAGAGTATGTAATCTAAAGTAAACCATACAACAGAGGAGATGCTTTGTGAGCTCATCATATCTTATTTACTCCGCATGAGTACATGGCTATTAATAGTCAGAGGCTAGTCAAGAGCCCAAAATTCTGTTCTGTGCTTCATCATCTTGTCATGTCAGTATTTCTTGTCTTCGTTCACATATTTTCAAAACTCTTCTCAACAGATAGTTTCACTTCAGGCATGTAGTCAGAATGAAAGATCAGATGTCCAAAGCGCTATGCTTGAAAACTGTGTGTTCTCTTGGGGCCTGGTTAAATAATATGGGGCTTATTTTTTGGCATAGTGGTGTCAAGTCTCCTTTGATGTTAGCCAGAACTGGGTGGAGTTTCTTAAGCTCCAGTCAGATTTGCTCAAGCAGGGCACTGTGCAGTGATGAGTTTGTTTTTAGTCTCTCCCTTTGCCAAAAAGCTCTTGCCTTTTAATAAATCTGCACCCAGTTATAATTGGGAGTACTTGACATATAAAAGTCAGGCATGCACATTGAGGATCTGTGTGCAATTTATTTCTAATTTAAGTGATGAATCTAAATTATAAGCAGCTTATAGAATAATCAGCCTCAGGAATCATTTAACATACCACTCTCATTTTACAGATTAGGGAACTCACCCCCTGACTGTGACTCACGGGAAGCTTTAGATTAAACTGGTGCCTCAGTGAGGTATAGAAACTTCTGTACCTAGCTTTTTTTTTTTTTTTTTTTTTTTTTTTTGCCTCCCAGAAACAAAGCCTTTTAAAGGTAAAACTTTTATACAGATAAGAAAGGTATAGTAGATGCCACGACGTGGATGGAACTAGAGAGCATTATGCTTAGCGAAATAAGTCAGTCAGAGAAAGACAACTATCATATGATCTCCCTGATACGAGGAAGTGGAGATGCAACGTGGGGGGTTTGGGGGGGTAGGAATAAATGAAACAAGATAGGATGGGGAGGGAAACAAACCATAAGAGACTCTTAGTCTCACAAAACAAACTGAGGGTTGCTGCGGGGAGGGAGAGGGTGGTTGGGTTATGGACATTGGGGAGGGTATGTGCTATGGTGAGTGCTGTGAAGTGTGTAAACCTGGTGATTCACAGACTTGTACCCCTGGGGCTAATAATACATTATATGTTAATAAAAAATTAAAAAATTAAAAAAAAAAAGATGAAAAGAACCTGGGTCCTTGAAAGTCATTGAGTTACTGAATTGATCAGCCATGATATTGCCTTCTTCTGGGACTCCTGTAATGGAGGATAATAAATGCTTATTTTTATTGGAGAAAAAAAAGGGTATAGTGTAAATAGTCAAGAAGAGATCATTTCTTTTTAGTAGGTAGTCCTCATTCACAAGAGTATATTTTTGGATCTTCCTGAATATCCAGATTTGAGAGTAACATTGTGCCATATGCTTATGTCCATAAATTACATAACTCAACATTTTAAGGCATAACTGAATATTAAGTGACCTTAAATGGTTCTGTGAGTGTGGGATGAAATTCACCCATGAATTCATTAAAATCAATTCCAAAACACTGGCAGAACCTGTTTAACAAACCTGTAGAACACTTATTTATTATACTTGTATATATTTTAGAATAGAATAACTATAAAATTGAATCATGTTTAATTTATTGAAAACTGGGGCTTCCTGGATAAAAGCCAGTACTTCATTTTCCATAAGTAAATTGTGTGTGTGTGTGTGTGTGTGTGTGTGTAAATCATATTTCTATTTATATGTAGTGACAAGAAAGGAAGATCTAAGCTGTGTTGAGATATAGTTTCTGGGTGGTTGGCTAGATGCACTCTGAGCCAAATGACCTTCTTGCTTTCCAGCTGTCTAATTTTCTATCAGTTTTACCTTCTTAGGCTGAATTTAAGCCGCTATTCATAGTCCATGAACCGCATGTCAGCCCAGGAAGTGGTTTGGGAGGTTGGGGTGGGGGTAAAGAGGGAAAGATGATGGTGGATAAAGAGCTGCCCTTTGAGAATATGCACTCGGGTAAATGAGATTGGAAAGATATTGTTGGTTTTGTCTGCATTTTCACCTGTGTCCTAAATTAGGGAGTTTGAGTGGATTACATGGAATAGGTGTCCTAGGTATGTATTATGGAAAAAATAGAGCTACTGTTAGGGATGGTACAGATACCCTTTCAAATGTTCTTTGACCTTGAAACTGTTTAATTATAGACATCCTTTATTATTTTTGGTTCATAATAGGTTTCAAATGCTAACTGGTAATAATAGTTATCATAAAAAAGGGAAAAGCAGTTACTTTTTATGGAACTTATTGACATTAAATTTGTCAGGCTTTTAAAAAGTTCTTTCATGAGTCATTTTTCAGCGTTTTTTCCTGGCAGGACCTGGAGAGACAATCATACTTTACATGTAAAGTGGCCTGGGTGGCATATAGAGTAGGAGTGCCCATCCATATTCATGTGTTGTGAATGGGTTGTGTGTGTGCTGCTCCGTACTGATGACGATGATAGGAACTCATGTGTGCAGACAAAGTTTAAGATAGAATCACTGTACTCCTTGGTGTGTATTTCTTTTTCCTTAATAAATTTAGCTGGAGAGAGGTAGACAGTGGAGGACAGTTTTAAAGGAGAGCCTTTAAACATGGCTCGAATCATAGTAGATTCTGGCTTTTAAAAATTTGGGTGGAGGAAAGACTGTGTATTAGTTGAGATTCTTTGCTTGCAAGCAGTAGATTGACTAAATTAGGAGAAAGAAAGATGGAAGGTTGCTCACTTAGACTCGAGAAAGAAGACAACCAGGGCAACTGAACACCTGCCGAGTGGTGCGTCTTCCATTATGAGATACTCCTTTTCCAACAATCTTCTTCCTGGTCATGTGTCCAACACCACTGGGGTGGCTGTTAGTGAATATCGGGGGAGATAAGGAAGAATGAATTTCTAGGCAAACAGAAGCAGTACCTGTCATACAATGCAGCTAAGAATTTCTTTCGTTCTTTTTTATTTTAGTTGTTTTTTTTTTTTTCTTTGTTTTTTTTTTTTTAAGATTGATTTAGGGGCACCTGGGTGGCTCAGTGGGTTAAGCCTCTGCCTTTGGCTCAGGTCATGATCTCAGGGTCCTGGGATCGAGCCCTGCATTGGGCTCCCTGCTCAGCAATGAGCCTGCTTCACCTCCTTTCCCCACCCTGCACCTGCCTCTCTGCCTACATGTGATCTCTGTCAAATACATAAATAAATTTTTTTTTAAGATCGATTTATTCATGAGAGAGAGAGAGAGAGAGCGTGCATGTGCCTGCTGCTGTACATGCGGGGTGGGGGGGAGCAGCAGAGAGAGTGAGAGACCCCTCAAGCTGACCCAACTCGGGGCTCCATCCCAGGACCCCAAGATCACAAGCTGAAGCAAAATCAAGAGTGGGACGGAGACTCACTGATTGAGCCACCCATGTGCCCCTATGCAGCTAAGGATTTCTGTTTGATTTACCTTTGCCTGCTCAAGAAAGCTCTTATGTTCACTTAACCTTTCTGAGTCTCTTGGAGTCTCTATTAAGTTAGACCTTTTGAAAGCAGACACGGTGCCCAGAATACTTTTTTTATTGCCCACTGTGCTATATATGTATCGGGAGCTCAATTTATTGCAGGCCCTTTGGCATTTTTACTACACTATTCCTGTATTTCTGGGCTAGTCACCTGCAGTTTTGCCTGTAGTAGGCTATACTTCTTAACTTCAGGTTGTGTTTAAAATTGGAGAGCCTCATGTTCTGAAAAGATGGTGAGCGCATGACCACACAGAGGGGCTGCCACCCCTAGCTAATCAGGGAACATGTCCGTATTTTTCATGCCAACAGGGCTAGGTATAGTTTGGTTAACGGAGCTATCCACAAGAAATTCATGAAGAAGCATTATTTAACCTCAACAAAATAAGTCTTTTGTCAAGAAAGTTGACTTCATTCTCCTGATAGTAATGTAACCTTTTTTTAAATGGGAATATAATGTAATCTGACCTCCTTTTGTATATTCTTTTAAGAAATATTCTGGGATGTGATTTAGAAATGAAAATGGAAGAGATAGTTGATAAGTTTATAAGACTTGAAATCAAAAGACCTGATATGAGTCTTACTGGCTGTAACTTTGGATAAATTGTTTTTTTTTTTTTTTCCCTTGACAATTTTATTAATGGAAAGGACAAAATGGCTTTTGCTCTGTTTACTTCTGAGAGATGTGAGATAGAGAGTGTTTACTTCGGGTAAGACTGTCAACTGAGCTTTAATTTTCTAATCTGTGAAATGAGGGAGCCTCTTCTAGCTCTCGTTTTAGATTTTATTTCTTTTTTTGTTTAGAACAACTGAGAAGAGTTTTTAGGAATGTGTTTCCCTTTGCACAGTGCCCATCTTATGAAATATTTTTTCCCCCTTAACCAGGCAGTTGCAGTGGTGCAAAATGGCTGACCTCAGTCTTGCAGATGCATTAACAGAGCCACCTCCAGAAATTGAGGAAGAGATAAAACGGGACTTTATTGCCACGCTGGAGGCAGAGGCCTTTGATGATGTTGTGGGAGAAACTGTTGGAAAAACAGACTATATTCCTCTCCTGGATGTTGATGAGAAAACCGGGAATTCAGAATCAAAGAAGAAACCATGCTCAGATACTAGCCAGGTTGAAGGTAAGTAGTTAAGCCAAGCTGCTGAGAAAGCAGATTAGGGATTATGCTTTGGGTCATAATCTTAAAAACTTTGAGTAAACTGAATTGAGTTCTTTAGCATAAGCTAGTCACTTTCTCCTTGGTTTCTAAATTCAGAAATAGATGTAGGTTCATTACCCTTTAGTTGAGTGTGTGTTCATGAAACTGTAGATAAATTTTAATCTAAAGGTTCTTCTATAAAGTCTCAACTATTATATAATCTGCCCAATTTCCTAAATTAAACTATCTGCTCTGCCTTTACTTTGACAGTAGCTTTGTAACAAAGTCAGATATGTAAAATTCTATGTTTACATCAAGACTGAATTTGGAATGGAATCAGGTACCACTTTTTGTCTTCGGGAGTAATTCTAGGTCAGGATTAAACCATGGATTAAATCTTTTTTTTTTTTTTTTAAGATTTTATTTATTTATTGGACAGAGAGATCACAAGTAGGCAGAGAGGCAGGCAGAGAGAGAGGAGGAAGCAGGCTCCCCACTGAGCAGAGAGCCCGATGCGGGGCTCGATCCCAGGACCCTGGGATCACGACCTGAGCCGAAGGCAGAGGCTTAACCCACTGAGCCACCCAGGCGCCCCGGATTAAATCTTTTGAAAGAGGTTTGCTGCTTTTACATGTTGCTGGATCACATTTGCCCACTATTTGGTTGAGGATTTTTGCATTTATGTTTATGTGGGATATTGGTCTATAATTTTCTTGTGATGCCTTTGATTTTAAAATTGAAGTCATGCAGCATCATAAAATAAATTGGGAAATGTTCCCTCCTGTTCTGTTTTCTGGCATAGTTTGTGTAGAATTGATGTTTCCTTCTTTAATGTTGGATAGACTTGGTCGCGGAACCCATCTGGGCCTGGAATTTTCTTGGTCAGGTTTCTTATTAGGAATTAAATTTCTTTAAGAGATGTAGAACTAGTCAGGTTATCTATTTCGTCTTATGTAAGCTTTGGTAGTTTGTATCTTTCAGGAATTGGCACATTTCCTCTAAGTTGTCAAATGGATGGAGATAAAATTGAACTCTTACCTGATTCTTTTAATGTCAGTAGGATCTGTTTTATGCCCCTCTTTCATTATTATATTGGTAATTTGTGTCTCTTTTTTCTTGATGAGTCTGGATAGAGGTTTATCGATTACTGATGTTTTTAAAGATCCAGCTTTTGGTTTCATAGATTTTTCCCCCTATTTTTCCATTTTTAATTTCTGCTCATATTTAATATTTCCTTCCTGCTGCCTGCTTTGAGTTGATTTGCTTATTTTCTGGTTTATATAAGGTTGAAACATTTCTTCTTTTCATAATTGACACAAAATATTATATTAGTTTAAGGCATACAACATAATGACTTCCTATTTTGTGTCTTGTTAGGTAACCACCACAATATGTCTAATTAACATTTTCATCACACATAATTACAATTTTTTAAATTTATTTGACACAGAGATCACAAGTAGGAAGAGAGGCAGGCAGAGAGAGAGGGGGAAGCAGGCTCCCCGCCAAGCAGAGAGCCCGATGCGGGGCTCGATCCCAGGACCCTGAGATCATGACCTGAGCTGAAGGCAGAAGCTTAACCTACTGAGCCACCCAGGTGCACCATAATTACAGATTTGTTCTTTGTGATGAGAATTTTTAAGATCTACTCTCAGTAACTTTCAAGTATACAATGCAGTGTTATTAACTGTAGTTGCCATGCCATACATTTCATCCCCAGGACTGACTAAAAAATTTTTTACAACTGGAAATTTGTACCTTTTGTCTGCCTTCACCCATTTTGCCCACCCTCTACCTCCTACCTCTGGCAACCACTTAAAATGTTACAAATTTCCCTCTAATCGTGGTTTTATATGTGCCCCACAGATTTTGGAGTGTTATAATTCTTACTCAGTTCAAAATATTTTCTTTTTTTTTTTTCTTTCTTTTTTTTTTTAAAGATTTTATTTATTTATTTGACAGAGATCACAAGTAGGCAGAGAGGCAAGCAGAGAGAGAGGAAGGGAAGCAGGCTCCCTGCTGAGCAGAGAGCCCAATGCGGGACTTGATCCCAGGACCCTGGGATCATGACCTGAGCTGAAGGCAGCGGCTTAACCCACTGAGCCACCCAGGCGCCCACTTCAAAATATTTTCAAGTTTCCCTTCTGAATTCCTTTTGAGCCATGGTTATTTTATTTTATTTTATTTTTAAAGATTTTTATTTGTTTATTTGACAGAGAGAGAGATCACAAGTAGGCAGAGAGAGAGGGGGAAGCAGGCTCCCTGCTGAGCAGAGAGCCTGATGTGGGGGCTCAGTTCCAGGACCCTGAGATCATGACTTGAGCCGAAGGCAGAGGCTTAACCCACTGAGCCACCCAAGCACCCCTGAGCCATGGTTATTATTTTTTTTTTTTAAAGATTTTATTTATTTATTTGACATAGAGATCACAAGTAGGCAGAGAGGCAGGCAGAGAGAGAGAGGAGGAAGCAGGCTCCCTGTGGAGCAGAGAGCCCGATGTGGGGCTCGATCCCAGGACCCCGATCACGACCCGAGCCTAAGGCAGAGGCTTTAACCCACTGAGCCACCCAGGCGCCCCATGAGCCTTGGTTATTGAGAAATACGTTAGTTTCTCAATATTTGGAGATTTTCCAGGTATCTTTCTATAATTGATTTTTAGTTGAATTCTTTTGTGGTCAGAAGACATCCTTTGAAATTTCAGTTCATTTTAGCTCGTCATGTTTTGTTTTATGGTCTAGAATACGGCCTGTCATGGGCAGTGTTTTTTTTTTTTTTTTAAGATTTTATTTTATTTATTTGACAGACAGAGATCACAAGTAGGCAGAGAGGCTGGCAGAGAGAGAGGGGGAAGCAGACTCCCCACTGAGCAGAGAGCCCGATGCGGGGCTCCATCCCAGGACCCTGAGATCATGACCTGAGCCAAAGGCAGAGGCTTAACCCACTGAGCCACCCAGGCACCCCCATGGGCAGTGTTCTGTGCGTACTGGAAGTAACATGACGGTGTTACTGTACGGAGTGCTCCTTCTGTGTCAGTTGAGTCTAGTTGGCTGATAGTGATGTTCAGGTTTTCTGTATCCTTACTGACTTTATATCTACTTGTAATGATTTCTCAGAGGGAGAGACATTGAGGTCTCCACAGAATTTTGTGGATTTCTGTCTCCTTTCTATTCTGCCAATTTTAATTTCCTGTATTTTGAAGATCTGTTCTCAGGTGCACAGAAACAGTGTAGTTGACATAGAGGGTCATATTAGTTTCAGGCGTACGATATAGTGATTCAGCACTTCCATGTATTACTCGGTGCCCATCAGGGTAAGTGTACTCTTAATCCCCTTCACCCATGATTGGTACCTCTTCATGAATCGACCCTGTTACTGTTATGTAGTACCTCATTATTTTTGGTAATATTGTTTGTTCTGAAGTCTCGTTTTCGTCCTATTAATACAGCTGCCGGAGCTTCCTTTTGTTTAGTGTTGACATGGTGTATCTGTCCATATCCTTTTACTTTCAGTGCATTTCTTTATTAATATTTAATAAAGTGGGTTTCTTGTAGACACAGTATAGATGGGTCTTGCTTTTCTGACCAGTCCGAAGACCTGTCTTTTCACTGGTGTTTTAGACTATAATTAATGTGATTATTCATATGATTGGATTTAAATCTCTCATTTTGCTAGTTGCTTTCTATTTCTTCCATCTCTTCTTTATTGTCTTTCTCTATCTGCTTTTGGATTAATTCAGTATTTTTATGTTTTTGTTTTTAACTTTAGTATTGGCTTATTATGTATATTTCTTTTAAAATTTATTTTATATTTGGGACACCTGGGTGGCTCAGTCAGTTGGGCATCTGACTCTTGGTTTCCACTTGGGTCTTGATCTCAGGGTCATGGGATCAGGCCCGCACGAGGCTCCACACTTGGCCTGGAGTTTGCTTGGGATTCTCTTCCTCCCCGACTCCCTCCCTCTTTGCCCATTCTCTTGCTCCCCTTGCTTGCTCTCTCTAAATAAATGAATAAAATCTTTAAATTAAAAAAAAATTATTTTATATTTGACTTTTTGTTTACAGTGTGTATCATTTATTTTTTTCCACTTTGCCTTCCAGTAATATTGTACAACTTCATGTATAGTGTAAGAGTCCATGCAAAACAGTAAATGTCCAATTCCTCTCATTTTTTGTCTTACTGTCATATACCTAATTTTATATATGTTAATAACCTACATTTTTATCTTTTCACTTTAGATTATCAGTTACCTTTTAGTTTAAATATTTGGGAAATAACGTCTTACAGTCACTCTAATTTTTACTATCTTGGGCACTCTTTATTTCTTTGTGTAGACTGAGATTTCTGTCTAGTACCATATTCCTAATGTCTGAAAGAGTTCTTGTAACATTTCTTTTTTCTTTTTTTTAGATTTAATTAATTTATTTGTGAGAGAGAAGAGAGTGAGAGAGCAAGCACAGGCAGGCAGAATGGCAGGCAGAGGCAGAGGGAGAAGCAGGCTTCCCCGCCAAGCGAGGAGCCCAATGTGGGACTCGATCCCAAGATGCTGGCATCATGACCTGAGCCGAAGGCAGCCGCTTAACCAACTGAGCCACCCAGGCGTCCCTCTTCTAACATTTCTTATAGCACAGGTGTTTTAGCAGTGAATTATTTGAGCTTTGGTTTATGAAAAACTAGCATTCAGTTTTGAAAGATACCTTTCCAAGGTGTGTATTCTTTGTGACTTTTTTCTTTCATTTAGGAAAGTTAGTCTTCCCATGTGGATAGTTTGTGATGAGAAGTCTGTTATAATCTTTTTTTTTTTTTAAAGATTTTATTTAATAATTTGAGAGAGAGAACATGAGAAGGATGAGGGGGCAAAAGGAGAAGCAGACTCTCCCTGAGCAGGAAGTCCAACATGGGGCTTGGTCCCAGGACCCCGAGATCATGAACTGAGCCAAAGGCAGACGCTCAACTGGCTGAGCCAAGTGCTCCAAGTCTGTTGTAA